TAGCAGCGTTTTCTGTCTGGGTTGAAACTAAAGTGGCTTCAACCCGAACAGAAAAAGAAATGCGTCAGTGAAACGCTGTAATCCTATTGAAATATTGAAAATGTGCTTAAAACTCATATTACCGTTATTGAATAAAAATATATTGCGACATATATTGATATCGAATTATTGTCCAGCCCTGGACCTGGCAAAGAAATGGAGGTAGTGAAGTTGATCTACCACATCAATAATTTGTTATATTTTGTGCAACAACTCAAAGATCCTTCATTGTTTGGCATTGTCTACTAACAAACAGGTGCACTGTCAACTGAACACACTCAGCACCCTTCTGGTTTTCTTCTTGACTTTCTACCTGAATAATATAATAAATATAATATAATATAATATAATATAATATAATATAATATAATATAATATAATATAATATAATATAATATAATATAGGGCAGCACGGTGGCGTAACTGGTAGAGCTGCTGCCTCTCAGCGAGCAGGTCCCTGGTTCAAACCCCAGTCCAGGGGCCTTTCTGGGTGGAGTTTCCATGTTCTCTCCGTGCATGCGTGGGTTTTCTCCGGGTACTCTGGTTTCCTCCCTGATATAGAAATTATTATTTTAATGCTTTTATGTCAATTTATCACTCATTTACATGTAGTTTGAAAACACACTTATACAACGTGTTATTCACATATTAGGGATTGTATTTTGTATTATGTTTTATGAGGTGTTGGGTCGCCTTTATGCCTGTTCAAACATATACTTTGTGTGTGTGTTGCTTATAATATTTAGACACTCTTTGATGGTTTGCAGAAGGGACGGAGGGGTGCTCTTTAGGAATGCTTTAATAAGCATTAGGAGTGCTCTTGACCTGGAAGCTTTGGCCCGCTTTTACGGTCACAGGCGCTCCTTACTGGAAGGATGAGCCATCGCTTTGATGATGGTTTAATTAGATCCGTTGTTCTGGTAACCATCAAACTTGTTTTGCACTGCTCTCACGCGATCCGGTCAGGGAAATGGTATAAAGGAAGTGTGACAGGCAACTTAATCTTTGGAAGTCCTGTGATGGATCAGCACGCGCTGGTGCCATGCGCCATTTTGATGTGATTCTTCTTTACCTGGGTCGAAAACGACTTCCCGGCCAGTGTCACGGTGAGAAGTTATTTCATATCAATCTGTGTGTTAAGAGTGTACATGTTTTTTTTTTTGCTTGGCTGTTTTCTGTGGCAGGTTAATAAATGACACTTATTTATCCTAGCAGTGACAGCTTCTGTCTTTTATTTTTCCCTATTTGTCTGAATATGTGCCGACCGTTTCACGAGCCCTTTTGATAAAGAATTTCATAATACACTCCCACAGTCCAAAAACATGCATGTTAGGCTGATTGGTAACTCTAAATTGTCCCTAGGTGTGAGTGAGAGAGTGAATGGTTGTTTGTCTCGTTTGTCTCGTTTGTCTCTTTGTGGCCCTGTGATGGACTTGCGACCCGTCCAGGGTGTACCCCACCCCTCGCACAGTGATTGCTGGACATGGGCACCAGCGACCCCCGTGACCCAAAAATGGAACAAACGGGTAAAGATAATGGATGGATGGATAATATAATATAGGGCAGCACGGTGGCGTAACTGGTAGAGCTGCTGCCTCTCAGCGAGCAGGTCCCTGGTTCAAACCCCAGTCCAGGGCCTTTCTGGGTGGAGTTTGCATGTTCTCTTCGTGCATGCGTGGGTTTTCTCCGGGTACTCCGGTTTCCTCCCACAGACCAAAAACATGCATGTTAGGCTGATTGGTAACTCTAAATTGTCCATAGGTGTGAGTGAGAAAGTGAATGGTTGTTTGTCTCGTTTGTCTCTATGTGGCCCTGTGATGGACTTGCGACCCGTCCAGGGTGGACCCCGCCCCTCGCACAGTGCTTGCTGGACATGGGCACCGGCGACCCCCGTGACCCAAAATGGAACAAGCGGGTAAAGAAAATGGATGGATGGATGGATAATATAATATAAGATAAGATAGAATTTTACTGATCCTGCAGGAAATTGTTGTGCCAGAGTTTCAGTACAAAGGAATACACAAGAAATCACACAATATGTAAAAAATAGGAAATAAATAAATAAATATAAAATATAAATATATTTAAATAATATAATAATTATTAATATAATATGAATTGAATAATAGGAATAATATTTTAATTTAATTTATTCTTATAATAATAGGAATAATATAATAAATAATATAAATATATTTAAATAAATATAAATAAATAAATAAATATAATAAGAATGTTCATGCACACTTTTTATTTCTAGTTCTGCTCTCTAAATTTCCACTACAATATTCAAACACTCTTGGAGGCCCCCTACTGGCCTGGGGGTCCAAAGCAGCTGCATAGTCATTACAGTAGTCCCTCTTTACTTCTCGGTTTGTTTATCACGGGTTCTCTATATCGCAGATTTTCAAAGTAAGATTGGACATGACACAATTGGCTGATTGATGGATGAGCCATGGGTTGTTTATTTAAAATACATTTTTTTTAATGATTTTGCACCATGTGTACAGCCTACAAATGCAGGGGGAAGCTCCCTCCTGCAGCTGATCAGCTGATTTCCTTCTCTGCACGCACACACATTTTTCCTGCTGTAGTTTGAACAGATGCTGAGATATATTCATACATTAAACGGGTTCTTCATTTTTCTGACTGTGTAACATGCGTGCATTGAATTTCACAGAAATGTAACGAGAGACGTTATTTATCTTTGACCCATCAAAATGAATGCGGTCATTTATTTACAGAATCAAAGTTTAACATCAAACATTTACATTAATTTGGCAAAATATGAAAACAACAACAGCATAATTAATCAATCAGGAAAACCATACGGCCATGGTTTTCCGTTGCTTCACCACAGACATTAATGAAAACATCTGGATTAATTTTCTAGCAGAAAGGAGAGTTTGAAGATGGAAAATTGAGATTTATCTTACAGAGAGATGTGTGAGGGAATTTATCTGTTTTAACCAGAACAGCACGCTCTTGGGAAATCAGCTTGTCCCAAACAGTACACTTTTGGGTGAAGGTCGACTTTACCTTTCTGAAGATAGATCAGGTCGGCGTGAAGTCCTACTTCCAGCCACTTTCAGCGTCTCCGTTGAGAACAGCTAAAATACCTCGAGAGTCATGCGAGGTTATCCAAACAGAAGTTATAATTCCCAAAATCGTCTCTGGTTCAGGTTGTTTGGTCCAGTAGCATCCATGAATGCCTGAACGCTCTGTATTCTGGATTCCAAGAACTCTGAACTCTCCTGGAACTCTTTGTGAACTCTGTAACTCTACTCGTTGAACTGGGAAGTTGCCACATTTAAACGGGCTATACTTCCGGTTCATTTGAGAGCTTTCTGATTCGTGGATGGACCAGAACAGAGGTGTGGTTTGTGATGTAAGGTGTTATGGAAAGTCAAGGATTGTTTAAGAACAGACAGAAAGATTGTTGGAGAAAACCAGTCTTAGTGGCGTCTCTCCTCCTAGTATCTGCTGTGAAAGTTAAACATGACATTTCTTTTCAGTAAACTTTTTAGTTGACCGAAGCTCGAACTTTAACACACTTACAAATTTGCTCATTGAAGACAGAAAAATCAAGAAATGCATATTACCCTGATTTCTTCTTTGAATGAGGAATAAAAATCATTACTACTGTTTAAGTAAATAAAAATGAGTAGTTCACTTCAACATGTAAACATTGTTTGAACTAACACAATTTGATTATCAAACATTTGTAAAATAGTAATGATCATAGAGAATTGTCTTTTCCACTTGATTAATTCAAGAAGGAAAGTCTCAGGATGGGTCAAACTGTATTTCTGGATGCAGATCAATGAAATGACAGTTTCTGACCATATGATCCTAAGGTCATTGATTTGACATCAGGTCAAGTTCACTACACTGCTGCGGCTGCACCGATCGACTTTTGTCTTCCAACTTAAAATTCAAAGTATGTCACATCACAAAATCATCATAATCACAAAATATAAAAGTGTTAAAAGTTATTTTTAATTATTTTAGAACTTCTATGTTCAGTTGTTTCAGTGTAATTGATCAAGAAGTACATTTCTGCTCCATGCTGCAGAGCTGTGACATCCCTTTGATGTCCTGATGCACTTCTCTTCTCTAAATTTTACATTTAAATACTGTAATATTTTTAAACAATCCATGCTGCATGGATTGTTTATTTAAAAAGTTACAGTATTTAAATTTAAATTGTTTATTTAAGGAGGGAGATTGGGAGTAACAAGTGATGTCCATATGTCTGTAAACTGTCTTTTGTCCCACCCATAACATCTGATCCACTCAAGATAATTAAATAAAACTTCATACACATGTTCATCATCACCAGACCGAGTGTAGACCTCACTTTTCCTCAACCCATCTCCAAGGTCAAGGTCACAAATCAAAGTCAAATGTTAAACAGTATCTTTTCTTGTCAGTGCCATAACTTTTGATCGGCTGAAGATAATTTTAACAAAATTCTATGCAAATTTGTACCACCATTACATGACACATAATCAGTTCATCACACCAGCTTCAACCTCAACATCACAAATAAAGGTCAATGGTTAAACAAGATCTTTGCTTGTTCGGGCTATAACTTTTGATCTGTTCAAGGAAATTTAACACTTGGCAGACGTTAGACAACAAGTCACCTAATCTTTTCATTACCCCAGCTTCAAGGTCAAGGTCACAAATTCAGGTCAAAGTTTATGCAAGATCTTTGCTTGTCTGGACCATTGCTATAGATTGCTGCATTGCTGTATAAAAGAATACAGTAGTATAAATTTAGTTGACGAGTGTAGAATATGCTGTATGCTATAATCTTGTAATCTTGGTTTTCTTATACTATATCTTGGGCCAACTATGCAACAGACAGTTAATACTACTAATACTAATAGTTAAATCTTTGTGATGGTGATTTTTTTTTTGCTTTTATATTGATGTGTGTATAGGTGGACCTACAGACTGTGGTGATGCTGCTGCTGGTTCTCGGTTGCTGCATTACTCTGCATCACTGCACATGGTGAATATGTTGCCTCCTTCAGTGCTAATCCCCTCAGATGAGAGTGCAGACAGAAACAACCTTTCCATTGATGACGGGTAAGACTAACATGAATCAAGCTCCAACATATAATTAGAGCCTAAAAACATATGTTTTGCTTTTAAAACAGGCTTTTATGGCAGAGTAATTCTTTCATTCATTCAACCTTTATTTAGACAGGTAAATCCCATTGAGCCTCAAGGACTCATTTACAAGAGAGACCTGATTTCAACAAAGAATGATGACAACAATGGACAACAGCAACAACAATAAACAGTTATTAAATGTCATACAATTTTTATTTTATTTTATTTTTTACAAATAGGATGGCTAAAAAAAAAAGAAAAGTAAAAAGAAAAAAAGTAACAAAAAACAGCTAGATTCTAAGGCGACTGTAGAAAACTAAAAACAGGAACATGTCTGCATTGGTCCTTGCCAGGAGTCCAACAGATTCTTAAAGACACATAGAGAGGTCAAGGTCGAGAGCTTCAGATCTTTTTGTAAGATATTCCAGGAAACAGGAGCAGAGTAGGAGAAGGCCCTTTTGCCAAGTTCAGTCCTCACTGAGGGAACACTGCAGGTAATAATGTCCTGAGCGCGCACGCTGTAGCTGCACTCACGCAAAGACATGAAGGAGGAGATGTATGACAGCATCAGACCAAGAAGTGATTTAAAGATGAAAATGTACCAGTGAGAGAGTCTGCGTGAAGTTAATGATGTCCAGTTAACCAGTGAATACAGGGCGCAGTGGTGGATACGATAATCACAGCCAGTTATGAATCTTAGTGCACCATGATAGACAGCATCCAACATCTGCAGGGTTCTCGTAGGAGCGTTCATGTAAATAATGTCACCGTAATCAATGGAGGGAAGGAAAGTCACAGATACAAGGCGTTTCCTAGCATTCAGGGTTAGACAGGATCTGTTTCTGAAAAAGAAACCCAGTTTAACTTTCAGTTTCTTTACAAAGTTTTTCACATGGAGCTTAAAAGAGAGATGCGAGTCGACCAAGATACTCAAATATTTATAGGAATCAACAAACTCATTGGGGACACCATTTGAGGATGAGATCAGAGGAAGAACTGCTGGGACTAACTTCCTATTTGAAAAAAGCATCCCTTTGGTTTTGTCTGCATTTAGGACAAGTTTGAGGCTGAACAAATCTGTCTGGATGTTGTTGAATGCAGATTTCAAAAGCTGGAAAGCCTTATCAACTGTTTTAGCTCGACAATAAACAACTGTGTCATCAGCATAGAAATGTATGGATGCATTAGGGATGTTTTTACCTACATTATGCATGTAGATTGTAAAGAGGGTGGGTCCTAAGACTGAGCCTTGTGGTACACCATTGTTGACTGTTAAATAACTGGAGGAAGTACCATTATGTTGAACACACTGCCTCCGGTCTGAGAGATAGTTAGAGAACCAACCAATGATGTGTTCTGAGAAACCAATTTCTGAGAGCTTATGACACAAGATGCTATGATCCACAGTGTCAAAAGCTTTAGACAGGTCCAAGAAAAGTGCGGCACAATTGCTTGCCAGGTATGCTCTGCTTGTTTTTTGTTGTTTGTTTGATTTTAGTATTTTTTGTTATGATGCCTCTGCTCTGCTCGTCTATGACCGCACAACTCTTCTCAACCTCTGACATGTTAAGTTGCCACTATCTGGTTTTAGTAATGATTCATCACAACTACCTCCTCACCTGTCAAACATACCGGACTATCTGCACCGTGCGCCCTGTGCCTTTCAACCTCGGAGACGCCCGAGGAGACGCGGAAAGCGAGGAGGATTTTTGGTGAGAATTAAAGCATATCTGAAAATATCTGGTAACAATTCTGGTCTCTCTCACTATCATACAAGCAACTATCTGTATGAATGGAGACATCGTTGGATTAAATCTGTGACTCCATCCCTTCATTTGGAACATGAGTCTTCATACTGGCGACGTGAAAGGATTTCCAAATGTGGCACAATAAACTTGAAAAATCTTGGCCAGCTGGCCCGCACAACTGCTGCGGACAGCAAGGATCAGACTCTCCGAGTAGCCTTGCTGAATACAAGGTCCCTAACCAACAAGACTTTTATTCTGAATGACTTTTTTTACCTCCAAAAAACTGGATTTTATGTTCTTGACAGAAACTTGGCTTCATGTTGGTGAGTCGGTTCCTTTTTCTGAACTTCTCCCTCCTGACTGCGCTTTCTTTAGCTCTCCTCGGACCACCGGTAAAGGAGGTGGATTAGCCTCTGTTTTTAAATCCAGTTTTAAATGTCGGCTGATCCCCACTCATTTTTACCAGAGTTTTGAACTTCAGATGGTGGAGATAAACTTCTCTCCTCTTTTACTCTGCGCTACAATCTACCGGCCACCAAAACACAGCAAAGATTTTATTCAAGATTTTACTGATTTTATGACGGGACTTATGCTACGATAAGACAGCTTTTTAATAATTGGCGATTTTAATTTGCACGTGTGCCGTAAGGCTGGACCTCTGGTCAGAGATTTTCTGAACATTATTGACTTTTTTAATCTCACGCAGTCCGTCACAGGTGCAACTCATGAAAAAGGACACACATTGGATCTGGTCCTGTCTTATGGGATAAATATGTCATCTGTGGAAATCTGTGGAGCTCTTTTATCAGACCATCTACCGGTTCTGTTCACTGCGGTAGTCTCTGGCAGGAAGGAATGGGCTGGACCATCTGTGCGTTCTGCACGCACAATTAATTCAAACACTGCGCTGCGCTTCTCCGCTGGCTTTTTTGACTCTGTCTCCTGCAACCCTCAGTTCTTTTCTGTGTCCAACGTGGACGAGCTCACTGATCTTTTTAGTTCTGTGTGCACTGACATTCTGAACTCTGTTGCTCCTCTAAAAACCAAAAAGAGGAAGTCATGTCAGCCGTGGCTGTGCGAATCCACCCGCGCGCTCAGACGCCAGTGCAGACGAGCAGAAAGGAAATGGAGTAAAGACAGACTGCAGGTTTCCCTGGACATCTTTAAAGACAGCTTGATAAATTATCAGAGAGTTGTTAAAGCTGCTAAGACTGCTTTTTTATCTAACATAGTTTCAAACAACAGTCACAGACCTCGGGTTCTTTTTAATGTTTTTAACTCTGTTGTGAATCCTTGTGATGCTGGTCATGTTGCTGAATCTCCTGCACTGTGTGAACAGTTTTCTAAGTCTTTTATAGATAAAATCTCTGCTCTGAGACCCTCCTCAACACACCTTTACACAGACCCCTCCTCACTTCCTCCATCCGCAGCCTCCTTTGAACAGTTTGAGCCGGTGACTTTAGGTGTTTTAAAGGACATCGTGGACCGCATGCAGCCTTCTAATTCACCTCCGGACTGTGTTCCCTCTCGTCTGTTTAAAGAAGTTTTTAACACTCTTGGTCCATTAGTGAGGGCAGCACGGTGGCGCAACTGGTAGAGCTGCTGCCTCTCAGCGAGCAGGTCCTTGGTTCAAACCCCGGTCCAGGGGCCTTTCTGGGTGGAGTTTGCATGTTCTCTCCGTGCATGCGTGGGTTTTCTCCGGGTACTCCGGTTTCCTCCCACAGACCAAAAACATGCATGTTAGGCTGATTGGTAACTCTAAATTGTCCCTAGGTGTGAGTGAGAGAGTGAATGGTTGTTTGTCTCGTTTGTCTCTGTGTGGCCCTGTGATGGACTTGCGACCCGTCCAGGGTGTACCCCGCCCCTCGCACAGTGATTGCTGGACATGGGCACCAGCGACCCCTGTGACCCAAAATGGAATAAACGGGTAAAGAATGGATGGATGGATGGTCCATTAGTTCTTGTCCTAATTAACATGTCCCTGTCATCAGGCTGTGTTCCAGCTACTTTTAAACATGCTGTGGTGCAGCCTCTCTTAAAAAAAAAAACCTCAACCCAACACTGCTCTTAAATTACAGACCTATTTCTAAACTACCTTTTCTGTCAAAAATTTTGGAGAAAGTTGTTTTTAATCAACTTAAGAGGTTTTTAACTGCCAACAGCATTGGTGAAAAATTCCAGTCTGGTTTTAAATCAGGCCATAGCACAGAGACAGCCCTTTTAAGAGTTTTTAATGACCTTCTTTTAACTGTTGATGCAGGAAGCTCTGCTGTTTTAGTGGTTTTAGACCTTTCTGCTGCCTTTGATACTGTGGACCACAACATCTTGGTGTCACGACTGGAGCAGGTGGTCGGTATCAAAGGCACAGTTTTAGCCTGGTTTAGAACCTACCTGACTGACAGGAGTTTTTCTGTTCATTTAGGAAAATGTTCTTCATCTCCAGCTCCTCTGATCTGTGGGGTCCCTCAAGGGTCTATTTTAGGTCCATTGCTTTTTAATCTTTACATGTTGCCTTTGGGGTCCATTTTTAGAAAACACAACATCCCTTTTCACTGCTTTGCTGATGATACTCAGTTATATCTTCCGATTGAGTCAGACAGGGTCAATCCACTGGATCCACTCTTGAACTGTCTAAATGACATTAAAGTTTGGTTAAAACTAAATTTTCTGAATCTAAATGAAAATAAAACGGAAGTCATCAGCTTTGGTAAATGTAATACCCTTAATGTGCTTGGCCCCTTGGCTTCATACAGCCACTCCAATGTCAGGAATCTGGGAGTTATTTTTGATAGTGCTTTTAAATTAGACAAACAGATAAATACAGTTGTGAAATCCAGTTTCTTCCAGCTAAGACTTATTGCCAAGGTGAAGTCTTGTCTCCCTTTCAGAGACCTTGAAAAGGTGATTCACGCTTTTATTACATCTCGTTTGGACTATTGTAATTCATTGTATGTTGGTTTAGACAAATCATCTTTGCATCGTTTACAATCTGTCCAGAACGCAGCAGCTCGTCTTTTAACAGCAACTAAAAAACATGAACACATAACCCCTGTCCTGGCTTCTCTCCACTGGCTTCCTGTCCACTTCCGAATTGATTTTAAGATTTTATTGTTTGTTTTTAAAGTCTTAAAAGGTCTGGCCCCGTTATATTTATGTGATCTCATTAACATCTACACTCCAGTAAGAGCACTCCGGTCTACCAACCAGTTCCTCTTAGATGTCCCCAGATCCAAACTTAAATCCAGAGGTGATAGGGCTTTTGCGGTTGCTGCTCCAAAACTGTGAAACAGTTTACCTGAGAATTTAAAGAGTGCTCAGACTGTTGAGACTTTTAAATCTTTGCTCAAGACTCATCTGTATTCCTTGACATTTCATCCACACAGAGTCTGAGAACAAGTTGAGCTGATTTTATTGCTGTTATGTGTTGTTTTTATTGTCAACTTATGTTTTTGAGTGGCACTAGATGCATTTTTACTCTTTTTTTTTTTTTTTTTTTTAATCTGTCTTAACTGTAAAGCACTTTGGTCAGCTTTTGTTGTTTTTATGTGCTATATAAATAAATTGACATTGACAATAATCCTTAGCATCCAGTGCTTCAACAATGTCATTAAGAACCTTCAGTGAAGCAGTCGTTGTGCTGTGTTGTTTCCTGAAACCAGATTGATGGGGAGGTAAGATGTTAAATGAGTCCAGGTAATTTTTTATTTGAGAGTTTATCAGTTTTTCTAGAACCTTGGCTAAAATGCAGAGTTTAGAGATTGGTCGATAGTTTTTCAGTGAGGTGGGGTCACTTCCCTTCAGCAAAGGTAGAACAAAGGCTGTTTTCCAAGCAAGTTTTCCAATTATTGTCCATATCTGTAGTTGCTAGATGCCCCATCCATCCATCCATCCATCCCATTTTCATCAATTTTCTTTACACACAATTTTTTTTCCAGTCACGTAGGAGCTAGTACCTACTCCAGCAGTCACTCCGAGAAGCAAAGTACACCTGAGAGGTTGCAGGTTTATCACAGGATCACAGAGGCAAATGAGACAAACGACCATCTTACATTTGCATCTAGAGATAATTCAGAGATACCATTTAACCTAGAATGCATGTTTTTTAGTCTGTGTGAGGAAACTGGAGTACCCAAAGAAAACCCACACATGCAGCGGGAGAACATGTAAACTCCACACAAAAAAACCCTAGCTGAGAATCAAACCAGCAACCTTCTAGCTGTGAGGTGACAGTACTAGCCATTGTTCTACCATGCTAGAAACTCCTGTGCTCTGGAATTACAGAAACACTTTTGCTATCCTATGTTTAAGAGAATAACTCAAGTCTTCCTGTTGTTTTCTTTTGGTTCAGTTCTAATCGTTCCACTAACATAGAAGACATGATCCACCTGCAGTCAAACTGTCCTGGGTCAAGCCATCGTGGACCACCTGGATCCAACAAGAACAGCTTCCCTTTCCACGTGCACCTGTCCACACCATCATATCCTGCATCATTGGATGGTGAGCATGGAGGCACGCTGACCTCACAGGAAGCCACTGAGTACCTGGAGCTCAGTCCCAAACATGAGAGAAGCAAGTATGCATGTTCATCTTTATTTTAATGAGTTTCTAAGGCTCCACTGTTTACCTGCTAATTGTGTGCACTTACAGATTCTGCAGTAACAATATTGTGTTCCTGTTTTTATTTTTTAATTATCATGGATGCTTTGCAATCTAACTACTTCTGTATATTTTTGCTCTATTGTAGCCATTAATGTATCAAAGTGTTCAACTTTGAAAACATGTGAGCTGTGGCTTTTGCTTATTTTAACTTTTATACTTTTTAAACAATTCCATCCATCCATCCATCCATTTTCTTCCGCTTATCCGGGGTCGGGTTGCGGGGGTAGCAGCTTAAGTAGGGAGGCCCTCCAGCGTGTCCTGGGTTTCCTCTGGGTCTCCTCCTGGTGGGATGTGTCCGGAACACCTCACCAGGGAGGCCTCCAGGAGGCATCCTAACCAGATGCCCGAGCCACCTCAACTGGCTCCTCAGAAGCATGGAGAGGCAGCGGCTCTACTCTTACTCTTAGTCCTTCCTGGATGACTGAGCTTCACACCCTATCTCTAAGGGAGAGCCCAGACACCCTGTGGAGAAAACTCATGTTGGATGCTTGTATCTAAGATCTCCTTCTTTCAGTCACAGCCAAAAGCTCATGACCATAGATGAGGGGAGGAACGTAGCTCGATCGGTAAATTGAGAGCTTAGCCTTTTGACTCAGCTCTCTCTTCACCATGAAAGACCTGTACAGTGCCTGCTTCACTGCAGACCCTGCACCTATCCGCCTATCGACCTCTCGCTCCATTTTTCCCTCATTCGTTAACAAGACCCCAAGATACTTGAACTCCTCCACCTGGAGAGGGCACTCTACCCTTTTCCGGCTCAAGACCAAGGCCTCGGATTTGAAGGAATTGATCTTTATCTCGGCTGTGTCACACTCGGCTGCGAACAGCTCCAGTGAAAGCTATAGATCACAGCCTGATGAAGCCAATAGAACCACATCATCTGCAAAAAGCAGAGAAGCAATCTTAAGGCCACCAAAACGGATCCCCTCAACACATTGGCTGCGCCTAGAAATTCTGTCTATAAAAGTTATTAACAGGGCGGCTGTGGTTGAGTGGTTAGAGCAGTCGTCCTCCAATGTGAGAGTTGGGGGTTCGAATCCACCAGCAGTCACATGTCTAAGTGTCCCTGGGCAAGACACGGAACCCCTCATAGCCTTTGATGTGTGTCCCATCAGTGTATGAATGTAATCTAAAAGCACTGATTAGTCTCTTTAGAATGATTTGTTCAATTAGCTTTGTAGAGATCTAGCAGAGTGTTGTATGAATGGGTAAATGAGGACACAGATTGTAGTGTAAAGCACTTTGAGTATCTTGAAATAAGATAGAAAGGCGCAATATAACTATAGTCCATTTATAACAGAATCGGTGACATAGGGCAACCTTGGTGGAGTCCAACTCTCACCGGGAATGAGCCCGACTTACTGCCGGCAATGCGGACCAAGCTCTGACACCGGTCATACAGGGACCTAACAGCACATATCAAAGGGCCTGGTACCCCATTCTCCCAGAGTACCCCCCACAGGGTTCCCTGAGAGACGCGGTCGAATGCCTTCTCCAAGTCCACAAAGCACATGTAGACTGGTTGGGCAAACTCCCACCCACCATCCAGGACCCTGCTGAGAGTGTAGAGCTGGTCCAGTGTTCCACGACCAGGACGAAAACCACACTGCTCCTCCTAAATCCGAGGTTCGTCTATCCAATGGACCCTCCTCTACAGAATCCCCAAGTAGACCTTACCAGGGAGGCTTAAGAGCGTGATCCCCTTGTAGTTGGAACACACTCTACAGTCCCCCTTTTTGAATAGGGGGACCACCACCCCGGTCTGCCAGTCCAGGGGAACTTCCCCTGATGTCCACGTGATATTGTAGAGTCGTGTAAGCCAACACAACCCTACAACATCCAGAGCCTTAAGGAACTCCGGGCGAATCTCATCCACCCCTGGGGCCCTACCACCGAGGAGCTTTTTAACCACCTTGGATGACCTCAGCCCCAGAGATTGGAGGGCCTGACCCAAAGTCCCCAGGCTCCGCTTCCTCAGTAGAAGACATGCTGGTGGGATTGAGGAGGTCTTCAAAGTATTCTGCCCACCGACCCACGACATCCCGAGTTGAGGTCAGCATTACACCACCCCCAATATAAACAGTGTTGGTGGTGTACCGCTTCCCCCCCCCGAGACGCCGGATGGTGGACCAGAATCATCTCGAAGCCATACGGAAGTCATTCTCCGTGGCCTCTCCGAACTCCTCCTATGCCCAAGTTTTTGCGTCAGTGACCACTCGAGCCATATGTCGCTTAGACTGCCGGTACCCATCAGCTACTTCCGGGGACCCACAGGCCAAAAAGGACCGATAGGACTCCTTCTTCAGCCTGACAGCATCCCTCACTGCCGGTGTCTACCACCGGGTTCGAGGGTTGCCGCCGCGACAGGTACCGGCAACCTTGCGGCCGTAGGTCTGGTAAGCTGCCTCGACAATAGAGGCACAGAACATGGCCCACTCAATGTCCCCTATCTTCCCCGGAATATGTTCGAAGATCTCCCAGAGGTGGGAGTTAAAGCTCCGTCTGACAGGAGACTCTGCCAGACGTTCTCAGCAAACCCTCACAATACGTTTGGGCCTGTCAGGTCTGACTCGCATCCTCCCCCACCATCAGAGCCAACTCACCACCAGGGAGTGGTCAGTGGACAGCTCCGCCCCCTCTTCACCCGAGTGTCCAAGACATTCAACCGCAGATCAGATGAGATGACAACAAAGTCGATCATCAAACTGCGGCCTAGGGTGTCCTTGTGCCAATAGCACATATGGACACCCTTATGCTTGAACATTGTGTTTCTATGGACAATCCACGACAAGAACAGAAGTCCAACAACAGAACACCACTCGGGTTCAGATCAGATCTTCCTCGAGGAGGACTTCCTTGTCGACAGCCACGACACCATCAAGAAACTGGGTGACTCCATCGGCAGTCTGTCCCGCCTTTCTCAGTCCGGGACAAACACGTCCATGGGGGAATACCTGTTTGACAGACATACTCTGTAAACCCTCAAAGATGCAGAGACAACGCATGACTATGCATTTGTTTAAAATTTGTAGTTTATTCAAATGTTTGTTTAAAAAAAAATAGAACTGCCTCAAATTTTGTATGAAAAACAAATTGGAACATGTTCTCATTACAGTCTCCTAAGCCGTTACTGTGAAGTGAATAATCTGTTTACATAAACGTCATGTGTCAATATATTCCAGTGTCATATATATCAACTGAGCAAAGCTGTTAAAGTTTAAAATAAATTAATAAATTTGGAAATGGTGCCACAAAAAATTTAGGGTGGCTGTGGCTGAGTGGTTAGAGCAGTCGTCCTCCAATGCAATAGTTGTGGGTTCGAATACACCAGCAGTCACATGCCGAAGTGTCCCTGGGCAAGACATTGAACCCCTCGTTGCCTCTGATGTGTGTCCTATCGGTGTATGAATGTGATCTCCAAACACTGATTAGTCTCTTTTTAGAATGATTTGTTCAATTAGCTTGGTAAAGATCTAGTAGAGTAAAATGGTAAATGGACTGTACTTATATAGCACCTTTCTATCTTATTGAGATACTCAAAGTGCTTTACACTACAACCTGTGTCCTGATTTACCCATTCACACAGTACTCTGAATGTGATAAAGCTCTGATTAGTCTCTTTAGAATGATTTGTTCACTGTTTTGAGTAAATGAAGACACAGATTGTAGTGTAAAGTGCTTTGAGTATCAGAATAAGATAGAAAAGCGCTATATACGTGCAGTCCATTTACCAAGTGCAGTCCATCAGGTGGGCTATTCCTCCCAAACACACCCCTCCAGGTCTCACTGTCATTGCCCACGTGAGCATTCAAGTCCCCCATCAGAACAAGGGAGTCCCCAGGAGGTGCACCCTCCAGTACCCCCTCCAAGGACTCCAAAAATGGTGGGTAATCTGAACTGCCATTTGGTGCATAAGCACAAACGACAGTCAGAACCCGTCCCCCCACACAGAGATGGAGGGAGGCTACCCTCTCATTCACTGGGGTGAACTCCAACATACAGGCACCAAGATGTGGGGCAACAAGTAGGCTCACTCCTGCTCAGCACCTCTCAACAGGGGCAACTCCAGAGTGGAAGAGTGTGCAACCCCTCTCAAGGAAACTAGTTCCAGAGCCAGAGCCATGCGTAGAGGTAAATGTTAAATGGACTGTACTTATATAGCGCCTTTCTATCTATTCAAGACACTCAAAGTGCTTCACACTACAATCTGTGTCCTCATTTACCCATTCATACAGCACTCTTCTAGATCTCTACAAAGCTAATTGAACAAATCATTCTAAAAAGACTAATCAGTGCTTTAGATCACATTCATACACTGATGGGACACATATCAGAGGCAATTAGGGGTTCAGTGTCTTGCCCAGGGACACTTTGGCATGTGACTGCTGGTGGATTCGAAGCCCCAACTCTTGCATTGGAGGACGACTGCTCTAACCACTCAGCCACAGCTGCCCCTGAGTCCGACTATTTCTAGCCGGAACCTCTAAACCTCACACACCAGCTCAGGCTCCTTCCCTACCAGAGAGGTGACATTCCACGTCCCAATAACCAGCTTCTGTAGCCAAGGATCAGACCGCCAAGATCCCCGCCCTCGGCCTCCACCCATCCCACATTGCACCCGGCCCCTTTGGCCCCTCCCACAGGTGGTGAGCCCATGGGAAGGGGGACCCATGTCTCCTCTTTGGGCTCTGCCCGGCCGAGCTCCATGGGTAAAAGCCAGGTCACCAGGCGCTCGCCAGTGTGCCCCACCTCCAGGCCTAGCTCCAGAGTGGGGCCCAGGTGACCCACGTCCGGGCGAAGGAACATCAAGTCCATTTATTTTTCTCATCATAGGAGTGTTTGGGCTGCACTTTGTCTGGTCCCTCACCTAGGACCTGTCTGGCTTGGGTGACCCTGCTAGGGGTGTGAAGCCCCCTGACAGCTCCTAGGATTACTGGGACACTCAAACCCCTCCACCACAGTAAGGTGGTAGCCCAGGGAACGTCAATTTTAAACAATTGAATTGTTTTTTACAAATGTTTTCCCCATAAAAATACAAGATTCCTAATTCCTTAAAACAATTATACATATTGATATCTGCTTCAGCATGCTAACTCTGTTTTAGTCTTCTTATGCTACTTTTAGCTTTTAACTAGTTTTTTGCAGCGTTTAGCTTTTGTTGTTCTTCTTCTACTTTCTCTTTTTCTTTTAGCTTTACCGTTTGTTTCAGCTTCTTTTGCAAACTTTAACAGTCATTTGGAACTTAGCGTTTATTCACAATGTACTTTAACAGAAAATGTAATTTCCCTAGGTAATGTTTTACGGTGACCAAACCTCCTTTTCATGTCAGCAGCATCCTGTCAGAGCAGCAGCCCTCTGTGTCACTCCCGTGTACATCCACCCTGGAGAACATGTGTGGGCTGATCCACTCCAGCCAGCAGGAGGACAACCCCACACCTGAGCCGGTCGGACAGCGTCTGTCCCGCCTGCAGAGCTCCCCATCCTCCTGTTACAGTGACTTTGACCACTCCCTGTGGAGCACCTGGAGCTCAGCCATGACCCTTGACTTTGACAGCAACCGCACCAGCCTCATCAGCTCTGTGAACAGCTGCTACACTCAGGACAGTGCCTCTTTCGCCCGCATGCTGGCTGTGGCAGCAGACACGTTGAGTGGAGAGTCAGCGGCAGGTGAGAGGAAATAGCTGATGCATTCATATATGATATCTGTAAAGCTCTTTACAACACAAACTGTATATTATACAGCACTCTACCACACACAAATTCATAGCACTCTACCACACACACATTCATACAGCACTCTACCAAACACACATTCATACAGCACTCTACCACACACACCTTCATACAACACTCTACTACACACACATTCATCCAGCACTCTACTAGACACAAATTTATACAGCACTCTACCACACACACACATTCATACAGCACTCTACCACACACACATTCATACAGTGCTCTACTACACACATATTCATACAATGCTCTACAACACAATTCATACAGCACTCTAATTCACACACAATCATACAGCGATCGACTAAAACATAGTCATACAGCACTCTACTAGACACACATTTATACAGCACTCTACTAAACACACATTTATACAGCACTTTACCGCACACACACATATGCATACAGCGCTCTACTACACCCACATTCATACAGCACTCTACTACACACATTCATACAGCACTCTACTACACACATTCATACAGTCCTCTACTACACACACAATCATACAGCACTCTACTACACACACACACACATACAGCACTCTACTAAATGCACATTTACACAGCACTCTACTAAACACACATTCATACAGCACTCTACCACACACACACATATGCATACAGCGCTCTACTACACACACATTCATACAGCACTCTACTAAACACACATTGTTGGGTATTTTCTCTGACCTATAAAGGAATAATATCACACAAGACAGGAGGATGAGTTGTAGTGCTCAGATCCTTTGCAAAGGGGGGAGTGACCCAACTGATTGTAAGTCAGAGTGAGCCCCCCCAAAGCCAGGCTGTCTGAGTTCGCTATTTATTGAAGCAGCAAAGGAAAATAGGTCAGTTTCACATGAACACAATCTTATGAGCGATGACGGTCAGAACATTCAGGAGATTGAGTCTGAACAGATAGTTTCTTGATATAGGCATACCTGTTGATTTCAACATGAGCTCGTATTTCACTAACTCCTACCCATGGAAAGAGTCCTTGGAAGAACTTTTCTCCTCCGTTCCAGACCTTGAATTCCCATGGGACGCCGGTGTTGGTGGTAAGCCCTCCCCCACCTGGTCACTTCTGGCATTGGAGAGCGTCTCATCCTGCGAGCTGGAGGTGTTGGTGCTTTCCTTAGCACGATCATCGGGTTGGAAAGGGGGACCAAAGCACAAAGGCCCCCCCCAATCGGGTGGTAACGCTGTATAGGCTCTGTGCCCACATAAGAAATACCAGTCAGTTAACACACGAGAGCCTTTGTCATCTGGTACTGCAATGCTGCAGTGGGTGGTCTTCTGGCGTCCTCTCGTTGGTAGGCTGATGTTGAAGGTCCGTTGGTAGAGGAGGTCTGTGCAATCAGTGACATTGTCTAATTCAGTACAATAGTGTCCGGGATCCCCTGAATACTGGCATAATAGCCTGCTTTGCAAAAAACACAATTCAGGTAATTAGGTTTACCTTTGTGTGACTGGTCAATGTCACAGAAGGTATACACCTTTTTACATAGATTCCAGGGCACCAAGCCTACAGGAGTGGTGCCATTGTTGAAAACACAGTATCCCACGGAACCTGTTGGCAATGTGATCAGTTCAGGCAGTTTGATGGACCTCTGTGGTAGGGGGATGACATCAGTGATGCTACAATTTGACGTGAAGTTGTATCCCATAGTTACCATGGCTAGTCGTCTGTGTAAGTCTGTGTGCATACCCTTCACCCCACTGGACAGTGGCGTTGTATAGCTTCATTTTGTCCAGCTGCCTGTTCCTGGGTGGGTGCTCAGGCCATATAGACATGCTTGTTGAGCTGTAGACACAGCTGCAGGTCGCAAACCTGAATTGTGGGTGGCATAGGGCAGATGAGCACATACATAGCAATTAGTAGTCTTTCCTTCATAAGCAGTTTTGTTCATCAGCTGCCACCATAGGTTGGTGCTGTAGTCATGAGGGTGTTCTAGATCAGGTTTCAGCAAATCAGTGAGGTCACCTCTGACTACGTGACATGCTATAGCCACAATACAACAGAGAGTCCACCTTGGTTGTGACGCTTTCATCATTGCTAGGTGTACAGAAATGTTAGGAGCTCTGATGTGCCTATTCACGGCATAGGGCTGGGGCAGATTTCTGCACACAGCATTGGTTTCTTCACTGACGTTGAGACGACACACCCTAAACGGTGTGTCCTCTTTGTGGTCAGACTTTTTCAAACACCCTGGTCGATTAAGAGTCCAACACTTTCTGCAACTTTCAATGACTTAAGATGAATCCAACTGGGTCTTTCCGCTACCTTTACAGCGGTTGGTGTGGTCAGTAGGACTTGGTATGGTCCCACGTTTTCCTTTTGATGACCTTAATAAAGACCCTCTCTGCTGGCTGGATTGGTGATGTTTTCTGTGGAAGAGAAGAATCAGGAGACAGTGAATTTGTCTTTTACACTTCTTTCTCTTGCAGTGTTTTGATCATGTAATCTGCTAATGTTCGCTCTTCTTCTGCCCTTTTTGAGTCAGGTGAGAACAAAAGGCATTCTATATGGTCTGCCATGGATGATTTAAAAAAAAAGAAAGGGGTCAGACCATTTGGAGTTTGGGTAATTCTCATGTAAAGTTTTTTAAGTAGGCCTCTAATCCATAAGTGGTGAAATGTTTCTGACTTAGGGTGATGGGTTACTACAGCTGTTGCTTTAAATAAAGATTTAGGCATTATTGGCATGATAAATTAATTCATCATTTAGCTGAGCGAAGGGTGTTGCATGTGTTACTGGTCTGCCAGTAGAGGTCAGCAGTGTACTGGCTGTCTGTGTACACTTCTGCCAACTGACATGTACGTATAAATGCTAAAATTTCAGTTGCCTGTACAGTTTTATAAAGAAAAAAAAAGTTTATGTATGAAAATGCTTCTGTATGGTAGATCCCTCCCTCCTGTTGACACATGGCAAACACCATGGGTCATTTTTGGTTTAGAATCTTCTTGTTTTTGATAGTAGATTTAACGCTGGTTCTTAGAAACCTTCAATTAAAAAAATAAAATAAAATAAAAAGCAGGAGTTGGCATAACTTATTTAAAAAAAAAAAAAACAGCGAATACAGCTAGCCAATTAGTGTTTGCCCTCTACAAACGCCTATTAGTCACAAACGCCTACCTTTGGCCTGCAGAGAACCCCTTCTTCTTTCAGGAGCAGGTCAAGTGCTGCAGTTACCATGCCGGGGCATTAGTTGGCGTTGTGGTTTTGTATCTTCGGTTAACGCGCATTCGTGCTGCTGCGGCCTGCACTTCCTGTGAGCTAACGTTCAGCTAACTCCAGCCATAACGATGATGAAGGTTGGATTTTGGCTGGATTGTGGAGAGGAGTCAACATTTTTTGACGGCAAGCAGGACCACTTTGTCTAACAGCCCACATCGGTCGTTGAGTGGGCCAGAAACGAGTCAACGATGTCGGACTTTACTACGTAATAATTCGTAGTGTATTTACAGCAAGTAAATTAATACTTGTGTTTTACTTTTGATCACACAACATCCAATTGAGTTTTTATTTTTAATCTTATCTAAATATGTATATGTATATATATAT